ATCCATCCATCCATCCATCCATCCATCCATCCATCCATCCATCCATCCATCCATCCATCCATCCATCCATCCATCCATCCTTCCATCCATCCATCCATCCATCCATCCATCCATCCATCCATCCATCCATCCATCCATCCATCCATCCATCTATCCATCCATCCGTCCTTCCATCCGTCCTTCCATCCGTCCGTCCGTCCGTCCGTCCGTCCGTCCGTCCGTCCGTCCGTCCGTCCGTCCATCCATCCATTCATCCATACATCCATCCATACATCCATCCATCCATCCATCCACCCATCCATCCATCCATCCATCCATCCATCCATCCATCCATCCATCCATCCATCCATCCATCCATCCATCCATCCATCCATCCATCCATCCATCCATCCATCCATCCATCCATCCATCCATCCATCCATCCATCCATCCATCCATCCATCCATCCATCCATCCATCCATCCATCCATCCATCCATCCATCCATCCATCCATCCATCCATCCATCCATCCATCCATCCATCCATCCATCCATCCATCCATCCATCCATCCATCCATCCATCCATCCATCCATCCATCCATCCATCCATCCATCCATCCATCCATCCATCCATCCATCCATCCATCCATCCATTCATCCACCTATCCATCCATCCATCCAGTCATCCATCCATCCAAAGATATTTTTCTCAACAGATGCCTGAAAGAAATGTTAAATCATGGGATCTATCTATTCTATAGATATATGAGAATTAAACATTATGAGATACGCTTAATATGTTCATTATGACTAGAGTGACTCCTAACATTTAAACTTTATCATTATTTGAGATGTCTTAAAGAAGTAAAAATTACATATATTTATCTTTAATTTGATACCAATATTAATTTTCAAAATAATCGGTAGCCTAGAAAATGATTTTTGAAAAAAAAGCGTTTCTTTTTGAAATGGCTACAACAATGCTCTGAGTAAGACGGTACGTGGGTTCGGGTTTAAGGAGTGTTGTTGTAAAGCAATTGCCTGAACAGCAGAAATGTGTCGTCTGCTAGATTTCTTCCCATTCAAATACACGCAGGGCAAAATGGGCGGGTAGTTAGCTGTTGGCTCGATCAAGTTATATTTCTGATTTTTTTTTTCGTTACACTAATTAATTTAAAAAACTTAATGACAATAAAGTAGCAAGACGTAATATATATTTTTTTCTATATTTTATAACAAGTTTGAGTATTTTCAAAATAGTTTTTTATAGAGTGATTAACGTATGTCTTACATTATGTTCTGCTCAAAATTCTCAACTATTAAAGGCAAGTTAACATCAAACAGTAATAATCAATTATTAAAACTATATCATTCTTGTTGAATAAAACGTAAAAATAACGTTAATAAGTAAATGTTGTTGAAATAACCATGAAATATTCTTAAAAATTAGAAACCGACATCGTCGTTTTCGACGGCCACCATTATCATGACGACGGTTACAAAAGTAGGTCAATCGACAGCCTACAATTGATGTAAAAAGCGTGTAGTTAGCAGGTGAGGCCGCTGTTGGGTGTGTGCGGGAACCCACAACATAAGATTTGGCTCTTGAGAGGAGAGCAACGGATGTGTGTTGTGCAATGTGCCAGTCATTTATTTTGTGTCTTTTTAAAAGACTGTTGTAATATTATCGTTGGCTTGTTATTTTGCACTGAATCTTGAAAACATATTGTGAGTATTTAATATTTTTAATCTGGTATCTTTGCGGCCTATCTATAGGCCTACTTCCTATATACGAGAAAGTAAAACATAGACTTTTTTACTTTCTCGTATTTACGAAGTATAGAGAAAGTCTTGTAATCGTGCAAAAAAAAAAAAAATCAAGATTTTTACAAATCTCGACGTTTTACATCTCACTGATACGGAAAAACATAATTTTGCAATCTTGTCCGTATGTCTGTGTGTTTGTGTGTAAACACGATAACTTGAGTACCGTTACAGCTAGGTTGATGAAATTTCATATATAAGTATTTTATCAAAATCGTAGATTCGTATCAACTTTTGAGCGATTCCCGATAACCGGAAGTCGTACTTTTTCTACTTTGAATTTTTCAAAAGCCTATAACTTGAGTACTATTTCAGATAGATAAATGAAATTTCACATGTGAGTAAAAGATCTAATTTTCTACCTTCTGTTCAATTTTGAGTAATTTCTGTTGAACGGAAGTAGTAATTTACGCTACTTCCGATTTCTCAAACAAATAATTTAAATTTTTAAAGTACTAACAATATTGCGCACTATTATGCACTTTTTACTTTCTCGTATATACGAATTTTAGAGAAAGTATTGTAATCGTGCACAAAAATCACTTGAAATTGTAACAATTTTCACCGTATTACACCTCAGTCCTTCATCACATTAGAAGTATAGAGGACTTATTTTAATCGGCCAAAAATTATCAATCCAGATTTATCAAAATTAAGAGGTTTTATGCGTAATCCAGTCTGAAAAACTGGGCTTTGCAATTCTGTCCGTATGTCTGTGTGTGTGTGTGTGTGTCTGTCCGTGTGTAAACACGATATCTTGAGTACCGTTAGAGCTAGAATGATGAAATTTCATATATAAGTATTTTATCAAAATCGTAGATCCGTATCAACTTTCGAGCGATTTCGGATAACCGGAAGCGGTACTTTTCCTACTTTGAATTTTTCAAAAGCCTATAACTTGAGTACTATTTCAGATAGATAAATGAAATTTCACATGTAAGTAAAAGATCTAATTCTCTACCTTCTGTTAAATTTTGAATAATTTCCGTTGACCGGAAGTAGTAATTTACGCTACTTCCTATTTCTCAAAAAACTAATGTAAATTTATTAAGTACTAATACTATTGCGCACTATTATACACACCTTTATTAGGCGTTCGCTTGGTGCGCAATTGTTTTTTACTGAGATTCTATTCTATTTTTCAAAGTTTAAGTATTTAAAATGGATTAAAAATCATAACTATATCCCCAGTTACCATCCCCTGTTGTTTTATATAAGAATATTCGAGAAAGTTTAGGGGAGATCACTACCGGTTTATTTAATTTACGTTCACTTGGTGTGCCAATCTTTTGTATTCTGTATATATATATATATATATATATATATATATATATATATATATATATATATATATATATATATATATATATATATATATATACATATACATATATATATATATGTATATATATATATATAGGGGGGGCCCAGAAATTTTATTTGCGGGGTGGCCCTTTTTTTCTAGTGCCGCCACTGATTAGATGTGTATAGAATAGATCTTGTCTATCTATCTATATATATATAAAGCAATGTATGTTTGTGTGTGTGTGTGTGTGTGTGTGTGTGTGTGTCTGTCAGGGGCGGAACTACAGTGCCGCCAGACCCCGCAATGCGGGGGGGGGGGGGCCCACGCCATTTAGGGGCCCATAGCCGATACATTTTTATAGTTAAAAAAAGTAAATTTTCTTTCATTTTTCACTTGATGGTTGTTTTGTAAAAAATTATCGTAGCTGCGGTTGGAATATCTTTATTCTATAGACACCACCCCACGCTCTTGTAACATCTTTTTCACTTTGTTTTTAAACAACTGTGTAAGCCGAGTCTTTCTCCTACAATTAAACTTATCAAAGATAAGCAAATGCTCAATCCACTTCCATGACTTATTTCCCTTTTTTTAAAATAGTCAAATAAGTGAAATGATAAGCTTCTTATAATAGATTTGTACTAAACAAATTTAAAAAGCAATTATTTTTCTTAATTATTATTCTCTTTATAAGTAATTACTTAAGATTGATATTGTATAAAAAATGAAATGTATTGAAATGCATTAAATTAATAATATTTAAAACATTAATAATATAACTACAAAAAAAACATAAAAATAAACATAACACGAGACACCATTACTAATACAAAGCTTTCATGTGTTATATTATTTTGACCGACAAAATGCTAAGAGGGCCTCTATCAAAAATTAATTAAAACTGATTTACACCTTTCGTTTTCATTTGAATATATGTTTAAAAATGTGATGTTGATGTACTTATTTTAATTGCAAATAAAAGTATTAAAAAAGAAAAAAAAAAAAAAAAGAAAAAGATTTACACAAAACACGCTAATGCACGTACACACATGAAATGATGTTGAAAAATTTTTAATTGATGTTTTTCAAATCCCGAACAGGACAGCGACGAGTATCCCATGCTCGTTTTATGTGATTGTATATATATATATATATATATATATATATATATATATATATATATATATATATATATATATATATATATATATATATATATATATATATATATATATATATATATATATATATATATATATATATATATATATATATATATATATGGGGGGCCTAAAAAAATGTTTGCGGGGTGGCCCCTTTTTTCTAGTTCCGCCCCTGGTGTCTGTTTTTTTTTTTGTTTTTTGTCCTTTATGCATTTCTACACCTCTCATCACATTGCCGTCAAACTTTGGGAAGTTATTGAGAATATTCCTGGGGAGGTTTCTACGAAAAAAAAATTTCAAATTCGCAGGGGTGGCGCCCCGGCAGGACGCGATTTGTTTTTATTTATATACGGTATATAAAAATAAAAAGTCGATTTTGGTTTGACTTCGTTCATCTGATAGCCATCCGACTTTGGGGAGTTCATAATAACACTCTAAGCAGTGTTTCATCCAGACTTTTTTCTCCGGGTGGCACTTGAAATTTTCGGGGGGGGGGGGGGCGGTAGTCAGAGTTTCTTCCAGGCTCTACCACTGGTAAAACCATGGCTATTAAACCATTTGAATAAATCAATTCCCCCATGTACGAATTAAATAAAGCATCATCGAAACGTGTGAACATTTTTGGTGGATAATCTTCCATTATGCTTCATAAACCCACCCTTAAATGAGTTTGGTTGATGTTCGAAAATTAAATGTAAATTGATTTATATGTGTTTATTTTATGTTACAGGCAATAACAGCAAAATGGAGGAATCAAATAGTTATAGCAGGAATGTTGGTAAGTTGTCGTTTAATGGATTTCTGACAAAATAAACTGGGTGTGATCTCCCCTAAACTTTCTCAAATATTCTTATATGAAACAATAGGAGATGGCAAATCGGAATATAGACATGATTTTTAATCCATTTTAAATACTTAAGCGTTTTAAAATAGAATAAAATCTCGTAGAAATAAGAGTTGCACACCAAGTGAACGCCAAATAAAATGTGCATAATAATGCGGAATATTATTAGTACTTTTTTTTTGAGAAATCGGAAATAGCGAAAATTACTACTTCCGTTCAACGGAAATTACTCAAAATTTATTAGAAGGCAGAGAATTAGATATTTTTCTAACGTTTGAAATTTCATTTATCCTTCTGAAATAGCACTCAAGTTATAGGCTTTTGAAAAATTCAAAGTAGAGAAAATTCCACTTCCAATTATTGGAAATCGCTCAAAAGTTGATACAGATCTACGATTTTGATAAAATACTTATATATGAAATTTCATCAACCTGGCTGTAACGGTACTAAAGTTATTGTGCTTACACACAGAGACACACATACACACAGACATACGGACAAGATTGCAAAACTATGTTTTTCCGACTTAGGGAGCCCTAAAACGTCCCGATTTTGCCCGATTACAAGACTTTCTCTATACTTCGTTTAGACTAAAAAAACAACACGTTCAACTCATGAACATATTAAAAAGTAGAAATGCCATATTAGTATTTCATTATCTCAATTTAGCTATTTGTTAGTTTTAAATGAGGATCTTTCATTAATAAACAAATTTGCAATTTAAATATCAGAGGAAACAGATATCGCTGGACAGTCGACAGCAGATGTTATTGCAATATCGATGCCTGATGATCAACAAGCATTAGGGGTCAGTAACATTAAATAAATATCGTATAGTCGTCATACATTTTAAGCACATACAAATTAGTGTCTTTGTGTCATACAACTTTAAGGGGATATTCGCCGTAAAAAATCACAAAACTTCTTGTGTTTCGTCATCATGGGTTTATTGCACTTTTGGATACTTTCTCCATTTTTGTATTAAGAAATTAATAACTTTAATGAGAAGAAAATGTATGTGTTTAAAATACCATTTTTATGACTCTATTAATTACAAAATTATCAACTTTTGCCAATTCTACAAGCTCCCTATAAAACTTTTATATCCGTCATCATATTTTATCATCATCAGAAAGCTGGATTTCTCAACGTATTTGATAATCTTAATTTTCTTCATCTCAGAAACACCCAAAGCTTACAATCGGTTTTGTCGTTAACACGGATATTATATGTTCGTGACCTAATTTTCGTTACTTTTTGATGTTTTTCTCAGTTCGCTGGTTTATAACACTTAAAAGCCTACTACGTTTTTATTCATTAAAAATGCCCACCCTATTTGCAATAATTGTTTTTCATGCAGAAATAAAACACAAATAACAAAGCACAAACGTTTAATAACAAGAAGAAAATAAATTACTTTCTTTAAATACATAATAATATACTATTTAAATAACTGTAAAAAAAACTAGGGTCTCTATATTATCTTTTGGACACCTTAAATAATATTTATGAAGACACCCTATAGAGTTTTCCCGTTGAAATTAAGGTCAACCGCGTCTGCACACATTGTGTATAAAAGTTCATCTGAAACTTATTCTTTTGTATATCCCTATATTCAATCCATTATATATATATATATATATATATATATATATATATATATATATATATATATATATATATATATATATATATATATATATATACCAAATATATATTTATATACAAAAGAATCTATATTTAACGTATGATAAAATGATGTTGTCTTCTACACTGTGGTAGATTCGATGACTTTATTGTTGCAAAATATATCTTGTTCAATGCAGTATATCTTAGAAACAAAATTTAAAAACACCCAACAGACCTCCAAATTCTGTAAGAAACAAAAAAAAAGGACGAGGCTAAAATTATAATCATCACAATGTTTCTCACTTCAATACCCTTGCAACCTATAAACATGCATTCACAATGTATCAACACAATGTACCAGAACCAGGGTGTAGTATAACATCTAGCAAGTGCTTTCTTGTCATACTGTCTGATTGTGTTCCGTGGGGTCCGTATATATTGGCTACCCATTCCCCGAGGTCGACAAGCCATATCGTAGAGGTCAAGGTACAAATCCCGTTCTCACACCGTGGTCAAACTCTGGTAGACTCAACATACTTTTTGGGCGATAATCAGTAGATCGCTATTCGCTGTTACCCAGAGTCAGCCTGTAAGAACCTACGGATGATGCAGATCAGAGCCCCAAGGTGTTCGTGGTTTTCCGCCTCTTTTGTAGCCCTAACCATTTGTCGTATCTTTCATATATATATATATATATATATATATATATATATATATATATATATATATATATATATATATATATATATATATATATATATATATATATATATATATATATATATATATATATATATATATATATATATATATATATATATATATATATATATATATATATATATATATATATATGTGGGGGGGGGGTTTGACTTTCAATTTATTGGTGTACATTTATTACAATGATTGTAATTAAACGTTACCGTTTCAAACTTGGCGGCACATGTGGCAGAAAAAGAAGAGATCAACATTTGTTTGTGATTTAGGCATATAAAGATAGTGTGGTTATGATAACTCTCAGCTGCCTGTACTTTTCTTAATGTTGTCTACCTTATTAATCCAAATATTTCACCGACTATGCTAACGCAGTCAGATGTATTAAACATATATTTCAATGTTTAGGATATGCACATCTTGATTAGTTTATAAAATAGTCACTAAACTGTTGTTGTAATGCCTATAAAGGAAGTACAAATAACTCTCAATATCTCCTTTTTATTACACATATTGTATTGCATTCTATTTTTTAGATTATAAATAAAGAACAAAATCAACCACTTGAGTTAAATGAAACACATGTAGGCCTACCAAACAAACAAGAAAATATTATAACTGAGAATGCTGCTCTAATCAACTCTTATCAAAGGTAATTAGTTTTAAAATCTTCATTGATAAATTAAGTGAATTTAAACGTAAATGTAAATATAACTCGAGTGATTATAATATGATCCAAATGGTGCGATTGGGACGTTGATTGCAAAAAATATAGTAATTTATAGTGATTAAAATTATAGTGTATTTAAAGAAATGTATTTATTTTCTCATTTTTAGTGCATTATTACTCAAAAGCTTGTTATGGTTTCTAATTATCAACATGATATATATGTTTTTCAAATCCTTCTGAAGCTTGGATGTGTACAACCTTGAATTCGAAAAGACTGGCATTGCGATAATCTTTAACATCAGAAAAAAACCTGCAGAAAACACTTCTGATTTAAGAAAGGGATCTGTTGAAGATGTTAAAAATCTTGAAGCAGCATTTGAGAAAATTGGCATGACAGTTTACAGAGTTAAGAAAGAAAATAAAACAGCGGATGGTATTGTTGAATTTCTAAATGAAAGTGAGCGTATTGTCTTTATTTAATTTTTAAAAGATTAGAATTTAACATGCATTATTATTATCTAAATCTTAAAACATAGTTGTTTAGATGACATTTGAACTTCAATTTATTAAATTTTCATGTTTCGATTCATCAGACGTTTCTACAGGCAAATTTAAACAGTATGCGATGGTGGTATGTGTTTTTATGTCCCATGGATGTCCGAATGGATTTCATTCATCAAATGGTATACCAATCGAACCACAATTTATTATTGAAAAATTTTCAAATAACCCTTATTTGAAAAACAAACCAAAGATGTTTATTTTCCAAGTAAATAATAATTTCTCTTTTTTAAAAATAATTAATATTTAGAATACATTTATATACATTTTTATATTAACTCCACATTTATAACATTCTCTCCAAGTATGTTTTGGGGACTAACACGTGGACTTTAAACATCAATAGTTTCATAAAATTGTGTATAATACCGTCGCTAATTTTAAAATCATTAGAGGAATTAAATTAGCGAAGTTGAATAAGCATTAAAACGCATGACCATTAAGAGAAGTATTAACTGTAAATGTAAAGTACTAAACAATTCATAAGAATCGTTTTGTAATATTTCACTAAATAGTAGAAAATAAAAAAACATTCTTAAACTATATAATAATACACTATTATTTATAAAACTTTAAAGAAAAGCGTGGGTCGCTTCCTCACTAATAGTAAAAGAATCCAAATGATAATAAACTATTAACTATTATATATATATATATATATATATATATATATATATATATATATATATATATATATATATATATATATATATATATATATATACTTTTTAGTGAAATATTACAAAACGTTTCTTATGAATTTTTTAGTACTTTACATTTTTAAAATTTACAATAGAGTTGCATGACCTAATGAGCGCGATAACGCGTTTGTAATAGTGCGGAATAGTAGGGTAAGACTACCTACTAATTTGGTGAAAATTTTTATTAATTAAAAAAAATAATTAGGCACACAATTAAGTCAATTTAAAATCGTGCTATATTTGTTTCATGTCTTGACCCACGTACTAATTATGAACCGAATCTGTTAGTTAGAAGTGCCCGAATTTTCGATCTAAACTGACGACAAAGACAGTGAGCTAAATAAAAGCTTGTAAAAAGGTCGCTTTTAGCGCACGAACAGTCAAAGAATAGGAGACAGAAACGTAGAAAGATGAGTGCATATAACTAAGAGAAACCTATACCGATTGTCCTTTTTACTCATTCGTATACAAAGTATAGAGAAATTATTGTAATCATGCAAAAAAAATAACAAGAGATTTTTGCAAATCTCGACATCTTATACCTCCCTGAGTCGGAGAAACAGTTTTGCAATCTTGTCCGTATGTATGTGTGTGTTTGTGTGTGTCTGTGAACACGATAACTTTATTACCGTTACAGCTAGCTTGATGAAATTTCATATAAAAGTATTATATCAAAAATATTATTTAGTTCTGTATTAACTTTTCAGTGGAACATTTTCTACTTTCAATTATTCAAAAGCCTATAACTTGATCACTTTTCCAGATAGATAAATGAAGTTTCACATTTAAATAAAATATCTAATTCTCTGCCTTCTGTCAAATGTTAAGTAATTTTCGTTAAACGGAAGTAGTAATTCACGCTATTTCCGATTTCTCAAAAAACGCATGTGAATTTTTTATGTACTAATAATATACACATTTAGTTTAGCGTTCACTTGGTGTGCAATTCTTTTTTCTACAAGATTCTATTCTATTTTTAAAAGTTTAGGTAATTAAAAATGGATGAAAAATATTGTCTATATCCCAAGTTGCCATTCGCCGAAGTGTTATATAAGAATATTCGAGAAAGTTTAGGGGAGATAACTCCCCGTTTATTATTTTAGGGGTTGCAAACACAGTGAAACATTGCGCTTTTTATTACATTTCCTTAATATAAACGATCTGCAAAGTAACTATCGTGGAAAGCATCTAAATTAGACAAGTAGTAATGGATTGAAATTTGGCAAAGACAACTTATTATTAGCAACCCAATAACAGTCTTTCTTACTACTTACAACATAAAAGATCAGTGGTTAAATTATAGCAGACACATCTAACAAAGACTATGTTGAATCCATAAACATCCGACTTTAGTAGACATGATACATCAACTTTATCGATAAAAAAAACGATACTTATGAATATACTTATCAAAATATTAAAATATACGATAGCTTAGTGAGCTTATTGTAACTGGACTACTTGACATATATATATATATATATATATATATATATATATATATATATATATATATATATATATATATATATATATATATATATTCAATCATTTAATCATTTATTTATTTATACATTTGCTTGTGAAGGCTTGTAGAGGTAGTATCAATAATACCATTCCTTATGCTGCATCCCATATTAAACCAAGCGACGACACTGACTTGCCAGAGGTTGGGCCAAAGCCTAAATTAGCAGACTGTCTTATCATTCAGTCGACAATAGCAGGTTGGTTTTTATATGCAATTGATTTTTTAATGAAATATTAGAACAGCCGGTAATAGTAGCGGAACTACAGTACCGCCAGACCCCGAAATGCGGAGGGGGGGGGGGGGGCGCCCAGGCCGTTTAGTGGCCCACAGCCGACCATAATCAATTTTTTTTATAGTTAAAAATATAATTTTCTTGCATTTTTGACTTGGAAGTTGTTTTGTAAAAAGACTACTGGAGCTGCGGTTGTGTATTATCTTTATTCTATAGAATCCTTTTTCTCCTACAATCAAACACACTGTGTAGTCGGCAAAAATTCTTTTAAAAATAAATCAAATTCCATCGCGCGAGAGGCCGCTAAATATTAAGCCGACTTTGGTTTCTTTATAGCATTGATTAGGGCTCAGAATCCATTGTGTTTTTATAATGCAAAATGTTCGTTTGTTGTATTGGTAAAACTGCAATTCAGTACTATTTCGGTTTTATGTACGCTTACCTCTTTTTGTTTTACAAATAAATATGATAGTTAACGTGTACGATTTGAATTCTCTCCCTCGAATTTTTCACAACAGGAAAAGTAGTTGAGACCATACCAACTTCGGTGAAATTTGGAAAGTTTTTGAGTACTTACAGACCTAACATTTTTTAAAAAAAAATGTGTAATTGAGCGCCCCGATATCCCAGTGGCTATCTAAACACCAGGGGTCCGCTTATTGGGTGTCCTGCACAGGGGGATAGGTGTACTACTTGAATCATCATTCTCAATGCATCAGGGGCCTCCGCCGGTGGCCGTGCCCCAAGACCCCCGTGACGCCTCTGACACCAAGGTCGTCGCCGAGGGGTGTTTCTTTCACCATCAGCGTAAACCGGGGTGTGTTTGTGGTAGTGTGTACACACTAGCGCCAAAACAACTAAGCCTTAATAGTGGTTTTCTAAAAAAAAAAAACAAATAGATCTGCTACAGTAGTGACGTTCTACAATAGCTAACACAGGCTGTAAAAGAATAAATTTATATACATGAGTTGTAGTGTGAAAGATAGGCAAAGATTATCTAAAAATAGATGCTAATTTCATCATTCGCAAAGTGACGAAACTGTTTGGATTTTTCTACGGACAAAAATAAACATCCCAGTTAATAATCTAACTTTGGTTAATTTTTCTGATTATTAAAATAAAACATATAACATAGCCCTCAGCCTTAGCCACCACCCACCCATCCCCATTCCCCCTCCCACCCCAGAAACCTTCTCAGGAGTATTCATCAACTCCCTAAAGTTTTATGGCACCGGGATAAACTGTGTCGAACTGCAATCGTCTTTTATTTTATATACCGTATATAGAGACAAATCCCACCATTCCTTGGCGCCACCCTTGCGAAATTAAAAAAAAAAGATTTCTTTTTACAGAAACCTTCCCTGGAATGTTCTAATCAACTCCCCAAAGTTTGATGGCGATCGGGATAACGCCGTGAAACCACAATGGACGTTTATTTTTATATACCGTATAAAGAGAAAATCGCACCCTCCTGTGGCGCCGCCCATGCAAATTAAGAATGATTTTATTACAGAACCCTTCCCTGGAGTGTTCTAATCAAATCCTACCGGGCGCCACCCCTGCGAATTTGAAAATGTTTTTAGCGCAGAAACCTCCCCAGGAATATTCTCAACGTCTACCCAAAGTTTCATCGCAATCGTGTGAACCCGTGTCACGGCAATTCACTTATATATATATATATATATATATATATATATATATATATATATATATATATATATATATATATATATATATATTCCTTTGTGGCCCCTGGGGAGCAAAGGGCTGCAACCACACATCTCCATCGGACTCGGTTTTGGGCTGCTCCCTTTATCTGTGCCCATGTGTGCCCATTTGTATTTGCCTCTTCTTCAACCGTTTTTCTCCATGTCTTCCTTGGCCGGCCCACCCTCCTTTTTTCCTGGGGATTCCAGTCCAAAGCGTGTTTTGCGATTTTTTCTTTTTCTTTTTTTTAATGTGTTCGATCCATCCCCATTTACGGGCCTTGATATCTGTCTCTATTGGCTGTTGCTTTAAAGTTCGCCACATGTTTTTGTTTGATATTTTGTCTGGCCATCTTATTTTAAGTATATGCCGTAACATTTGTTTACGAATGCCTGTAGCTTATCAGTATTTGTCTTTGTAACCCTCCAAGTCTCCTAGCCATAGAGCAGCACTGCCTGGACATTTGTGTTGAAAATCCCAATTTTGCTCCGGAGTGACAGGGCCGTGGACCTCCACATCGGGCGCAGCGAGTTGAAGGCACATCTAGCCTTGTTGATACAGCATTTTATGTCCTCGTCTGCTCCCCCGTCCTTATTGATCATGCTTCCCAGATATGTGAATGTGTTCGTTTCACGTAAATCTTCTCCATTTAGCTGTATGGGCAGGTTCTGCCTGTTATTGATTCTGATGACCTCTTTTTTTTTATTGATTTTTAATCCAACTTTGGAGGCTTCTTCAGATAGCCGATTTAGTTTGACTTGTGTATGTTGATGCTTGTGAGATAGTAGGCATATGTCATCGGCAAAATCAAGATCCTCCAACCTTTTGGTGAAACCCCACTGGATTCCTGTGTCGTTTTTGTGGTTTTCAGCATGATCCAGTCGATTACCATCAAGAATATCATTGGCGATAGCATACATCCCTGTCTTACTCTCGTCGTCACCGTGAATGGTTTTGTTAGTTTTCCCTTGTATATTACCTGACTGGTGGAGTCTTTATAAAGTTTCTGTGTGATAGATATAAATTTTTTGGGTATTCCATAGTGGCTCATTAACTTCCAGATAACATCTTTATTCACACTATTAAACGCCTTTTATAAGTCGACAAAAGTCATGTATAAGGGGGATTGCCACTCAAGAGACTGTTCAATAATGATGCGCAGCGTGGCAATGTGGTCAGTATATGACCTGTCTTGACGAAAACCAGATTGTTCTTATCTCAGCTTTTTGTCCAAGGCATCTCTAAGCCTCTCTAGGATGATTCTTGTCAGCAACTTACTTGGGACTAAAAGAAGCATTATCCCTCTCCAGTTGTTGCATTGTGTCAGGTCTCCCTTCTTTGGCAGTTTTATCAGGTATCCCAGTTTCCAATCAGATAGGATTATTTCTTCTTCCCGAATCTGCTTAAGTAGAGGATGTAGTATGTCTGCTGATATTGCTGGGTCTGCTTTTAGTGCCTCTGGTTGGATACCGTCCGAGCCAGCTGCTTTGCCATTTTTCATGTTCTTAAAAAAAAATTGAAAAAAAGAAATGAACATTGACATGATATGTCTAAATCACGTGCCACCAGTATGAAAGCCTATTACACTTACACCTTTGTTATCTAGGCTCGTGACAAAAATGACGTTTTTTTGTACACTATAATAATAGTTTGAGTCTGCTAACGAAACTTGATTTACGCGAATAGGCCCTAGATCTAGTATTATTTCAAATTAAAATGTATCTTAAATTAGCCAATTCCATTGCTAAACAAACAAAGATTTATAAAAAATAATGAAGGTTTGAAATAGTTTAGAATAGAAACTCATTATTATCTAGACTAGATCTAGATAGAAAAAGTTATCTAGATTCTACGACTGGTTTTGTTAAGTCGAGTTTTCTTGTAGATGTAGCTAGAACCTTGTATCCTTGAATTAGATGATCCGTGAAGCTAAAAAGCAAAGATTTATATCAAATATTTAAGGACTAAAATAGTTTAATTAAAAAAATCAATAATTTATTCTGATTTTAAAGTGCTTTTTAATTTTAACTAATTAATTTTGGTTTGACCTAGATTCTAGTTCTATAAATAACTTCCTACGACAGCTGATCTTTAGATTCTAGATCTAAAGAAATGCATTGCATACTTAAATAAAAAGGACTGTTGAAAATTGATATGAGTGTTGTAACGTAATAAAAATAACAAACAGACGTATCGTTAAAGCTATAGCCGACAGAACATTAGCTATATAATGCGTTATAGTTACTTTTGAATTAGCAACAAAATCTTGTATGGAAGCCGCCATTATTTAAATTATTATTGTAAAAACTATATAAATCAGGTGACGTCACTATCCGCTATAAGCAAAGTCATTGTTCTGAACTTTTATACTTAACTAGCTGACCAGCGATGTAGCATACGCCGCCATCTAGTCGTTTTATTTTCTGCTTATCAGCAATTCATAATTTGTGAATTCAACACTACCCCTTCCCGAATAATAAAAAAAAAATATTCAAACATGTAAACAAACTTGAGTTTTAGTAGTATATAGATTTAATTAATGTAGGAAAAATGCGCCACTAACCTTAAAATGGTCGTAGAAGGAGCGACTCCTCCCTCTGCTTCCCCTCTGCGTCCGCAATTAATAGTCCTTTAAAAAGCTATTTTGGATTTCTCAAAAATGGTGTGATTTTTGATAATTTTGAATAAATTTGTTTTCTACAATTAAATTTTAAGAATGAATAGAATAGATGAACTTACTGTTTTAAAATGGAGTATTTAGCCCGATTTTGCAAAAAAACAGTTATATTATTATAAAACATATTCTTTTATTATTAGGTTATGCCTCAAAAAGAAATCCAGATTCTGGTAGTTGGTTCATCACAGAGTTTTGCAAAGTTTTAACTGATAACTGGGAAATGGATGAAATGTGTACACTTTTAACACGAGTAAATGAAGCTGTAAGCAAGATTGGACTGACAACAGACCCTGAAAAACACGAAATAACAAAACAGATGTCAACATATACATCAATGTTGACAAGGAAATTATATCTTTGCAAGGATAATCTTCAGGTATGTATTTAATGGCATATATAAATACACATACACATACACAAACACACAAATATATATATATATATATATATATATATATATATATATATATATATATATATATATATATATAAACAAAGTAATGGGGGCTGTAATGCACACCTGAAGTAGATCGGGTATATGTATACACGTATCAAATGTATTGCTCTTGTCAAAAATGGGCTTTTAAGTAAATATAAGGGGAAAATTAGAGTGATCTCAATAATTGAGTTTAAGTGACCGAGAACTAATCTATAGTGTCCGCGGCTTTCTATAAACAATACATTTTTTTAAGTGCTTGAATTATATCGATCACTTGCAGACGCGACAAAAAGTTGATATTTAATATGGAGATAGCTCTAGTTCCTTAGACAATTGGAAAAATATTAGATTCTCAGAAGTATTATTATCTATAATAATAGTTTCGCTGTCTGTCTATCTATCTATCTATCTATCTATCTATCTATCTATCTATCTATCTATCTATCTATCTATCTATCTATCTATCTATCTATCTATCTATCTATCTGTCTGACAAGAACGCTCTAGAGAAAACACAAGGAATTTAAAAACTCTCACAGTGAAACGAAAGACGAAGTATGACGCGGTCACATTTAGCATAGAGTAGAACATAATCTCAAACCAGAGAGTGCACACATTTATATGACGTCATTGATTATCGCGTAAACATTCAATACAAAGGCAATTTGGTCTAATCTAAGTGGTTTGCGTGAAGAGTTTCTTTCATACAATTCTTCGGGTAGGGGCGAAGCCCCACCCCCGCGTAAGAGCGTCTGAGCCCCCCCCCCCTCCCCAACTCAAAAGAAATTTCCTCATCGATACTCTATAATAAAATTACCGCCTTATTAATGTGTCTAATCTAAAAAGTGGTTTTCTTGCAATGGGACGGTAGACATTTTTTTTTTTGGGGGGGGGGGGGGGAGGGGGGTGGAGGGGGGGGGGGTGGGGGGATGGGGGGTGGTGTGTGGGGGGTGGGTTGGTTTCAGTGTTTCTTTCAGACTTTTTCCTCCCCGGAGAGGGGTGGGGGTACTTGAAATTTTCGGGGGCGGGGGGTAGAATTTTCTGGGAGGGGGCGGACACTGGAAAAAGTATATAATTATATTTCGTTGAATGGGACGGTAGACATGTTTTTTTTGGGGGTGGGGGGGAGGTGGAGGGGTGGGGGGGTGGTGTGTGTGGGGGGGGGGGGGTGGGTGGGGGGTGGTGTGTGGGTGGGTGGGTTGGTTTCAGTGTTTCTTTCAGACTTTTTCCTCCCCGGAGAGGGGTGGGGGTACTTGAAATTTTCGGGGGCGGGGGTAGAATTTTCTGGGAGGGGGCGGACACTGGAAAAAGTATATAATTATATTTCGTTGAATGGGACGGTAGACATGTTTTTTTTGGGGGGGGGGGGGGGGGGTGGGGGGTGGGGGGCGGTGTGTGTTGGGGGTGGTGTGTGGGGGTGAGGGGTGGGGGTGGTGTGTGGTGGGGGGGGGGGGTGGGGTTGTGTGTGGGGTGGGGGGTGGGGTGGGGGTGGTGTGTGGGGGGGTGGGTTGGTTTTAGTTTAGAGAAAAGAGACAGCACTATCAGCCTAGCGCCCTCATCGATACTCTATAATAAAATTACCGCCTAATTAATGTGTCTAATCTAAAAAGTGGTTTTCTCGCAATTTCTTTAATGCAATTCTTCGCGTAGTGGCTAAGCGCGACACCAGTGTTTCTTTCAGACTTTTTCCTCCCCGGAGAGGGGTGGGGTACTTGAAATTTTCGGGGGCGGGGGTAGAATTTTCGGTGAGGGGGCGGACACTGGAAAAAGTATATAATTATATTTCGCTGAATGGGACGGTAGACATGTTTTTTGGGGGGGTGGGGGTGGGGGTGGGTGGGGGGTGGGGGTGGGGGTGGTGTGTGTGTGTGGGGGGGGGTGGGTTGGTTTTAGTTTAGAGAAAAGAGACAGCACTATCAACCTAGCGCCCGGTGTATCCTTCCTCAACGGGCCATTTTTCTCGTATTATTATAAAGGGGTTAATAACTGAACGCTTTTGCTCGTCAATTTTAATTATTAAAGTGACTCACAAGCGTGAGCAATTTAAATTTTAGATTTCCCCTGTTCTTTGACTACACGCATAAATAAACAGCGAAAACATTTGGAGAAAAGAAAAATTCATTTAAAATTTTCAAATAAAAATTAACAAGTTTTCGCATGTTTTTACCTAAAGTGATTTTTTACATAAAGTGATATAATTGCGTCACAAATTTCAACTTTTAATTACCCCAGTCCTTTGATTACACAAATAAACGATAATGTCATGTAGATACAATAAAAACAAGTTGATAAAAAGTCTAGTGACAATTTAAGCACAATTTCCTTATGTTATCCATAACAATTTTAAATCGAGATAAATCATATATTTAGCAAATAAATAATGCAACACAACTAGTTTCAATAATTCAAAACAAAATAGAAAAAATCCTTTCGAACCTCCGCTCATTCGCTATGGTAAAATCCTTTCGAACCTCAGCGCTTTGCGCTAAATCATCCTAGGCCTACACGATGCTCAGTTTAAAAATTCTTAATAATTTTTTGTGTCCGAACGAAAGGATATTTTTGAAAACTTTCTTCGGCAATATTGTTCTAAATTATGGCAGAAATCAATTTGGTAAATGTTTTAAGTCGCTAAGTGGTCTGGTTGCCGAGATATAGGCCAAAAACTGCATTTTTTCGAGGTTGTTTGGCTTTTCCGGGAAATCCAGGAAGGTATTCCGGGAAATTTTTTGACCTATGTTCATCCTCGGAATTTGCTTAACATATTTGCTTTTGGAACTAGTCCTCGATATTGCTTCGTTGAGAAGGAGATACGACTTAAAGACGAATTAAAGCTGCGGACACATATCCATCCATACATCCATCCATTCATCCATCCATCCATCCATTCCCAGAAATGACGAGTTAATAATCGCAATTCTCCTGAATGGAAATTGCGCTAAAAACCCTTTATATTTTATTCTACAAAAATTTTAAATTGATGTAAAAATTAAAATCTCTAATAACTGATATTTGCGGAGGCCACTTGCGAAACCTGCCAAGTACATTTTTGACAAGAATAGTTTGCTCTAATAACCTTCTTCAAAATGTCGCTAATTTAGTACTATAGTAATTTGTGTTTAGAAAAATATACATCTTGCTGATTTTCTGTAAGGGGTTATCCATAAAACGGTACACAAAAATCCCCTCCTCCCTAAAATGACGTCACACACAGAGGCGTAGCGACCAATTCCAGGGCACGGGGCGGGATATACATTTTTGCGACCCTCCTTCACATTCTATTTACAGTTATTCCTGTGTTTGAAAAAGTGCCTCCTGCCGAAAGTAAATACATAACTAAATTGCAAACGTTTTGTAGAGCTTCTTACCAGTTACTTTCCCATTAGATTTTCTATTTTGGTGCCACAAAATTAATATAGAAAACAGTTAAATCAATGTAAAACGTGTTAAAGTCGTTTATTTTTGTAACTTTGACCATATATAATTTAATACTTCAGCTTAAAATGAGTTTTTCAATTAATTTTTCAACCCCTTTTGGCGCCACCTTAGGGTCGGAGCCCGAGGCGCCTGCCCCACTGCCCTCCCCTAGCTATGCCCCTGGTCTCACCTCAGCCTACAAGCCCCCTCAAAATTGCAGTTGAATCTTTTCAATCAGCATCATTATTAACAGGATGCTATTTGGCACGATGGCGCCTGTTAGTTTTAAGGAGCCAGGGGTCGTACGCCGCGCCTATGCGGTAGTGTAATCGGGGGGTGGGGGCCCTGAGAGCGCCCCTCTACGTCTCTGACACATGGGCGGTTACCGAAGTGTGTTCTACCATATTATTTCGGTGAGTGATTAATGTACATTCAATGTTTTCATGCGGTAGTGTAGGTAAACCCGTGTCCCGATATTTATGATCCAAGCGCAGGCATTGTTTACATTTAAATAACTCACTTTTAGAAAAGACGGTCACGCGTCTTAGAACATAAGATTGGTAACGCGTTGCTGAAATCCTTCTAATACATTTTGTCAAACTTACTTCTATCCCCGCGGCAACGCGCGGGGGACGGGTACGCTAGAATATATATATATATATAAATAAAAAAAAAATCTATATACATATATATATATATATATATATATATATATATATATATATATATATATATATATATATATATATATATATATATATATATATATATATTAGAGACAAGGACGTTGCAGACCCTGTAAATTACCTCCAATTAGTATGTGAAATTTGGTGGGAAAATGAATGTATTTGCTTGCTGATGCAAATGCAGAAATATTTTTTTAGCGAGGAGATATTGCTGCTATGTAAATAATTTCTTTTTAAATTCTGTATACAGATTACAGACTATGATAGACTACAAGGTAGGATAAAGTCACGTTTTTTCATTCAATTTTCCAGAATCATTTTTTTTGTTTAATAAATCAGTTAACAGACATGTCAAACATTAACTATAAAAAAATATTTACATTTTATCTCATAGGTTCCCAATCTTTGGAGTCTTACAGATTGGGTGCTGGAAAAATTATAATTATAAATATCGACGAGTTTTTCGATGGTGACAAAGTTGTTTTAAAAAGAGAAAATTCAGCTGAAGACGTTAAGTGTCTGGAAGATGTATTTATTGGTGATATGAAAATGAAGTTAATGCCATATCATGCGAAAACAACAGCAGGAAAGATTTTGGGATTTCTTGATAAAAGTAGAACTCAGTTATTCCTATTTTATTCAAAATATTTTACCAATAAACCCACATTCTCTTTTCAATTAACGAATAAAGCATGCATATTCTATTTAAAAATAAAACTGAATTAAATAACTATGATAATATTTAAAAAAAATGAAACTTTCAAATTCAGGCGCAAGGGAGGATTATACAAATGATGCAATATTTGTGTGTGTCATAATGTCTTACGGAAATGGTGTTGAGCTACATGCTTCAAAGAACGAACTAGGTGTTAACATGGAGAAAGTTGTACATATGTTTGATCAATCAACAAGCCTTCAGGGAAAACCAAAGCTTTTTATCTTTCAAGTAAATATACATTTACGTACCTATATATTATATATATATATATATATATATATATATATATATATATATATATATACATATATATATATTGTATTAAGATATACATATATTGATATACAGTATATTCATAATTGCTAGCCCATACTTCATTTATACATCAAGTGTTTTTGACGCTTTGTCTGAGTTTAGAAATACTTAATTTTAACCTAATATTTAAAAGAACAATATCGCTTAACATATATGGCTTTAGCCAGTCTTTAAACTATGAGACACCCTAAAAATAATCAATTTCTGACGTCCTTGATTCTAGAGTAAATAACTGTGGGTCGCGGGAGTCAGTCATCCATAAATGACATCACGTCTGTTACTTATCGTTACAAAAATACCAGACCCCACATTCAAAAAGACGTCACACCTCAGACGTTTTGTCTTTTAAAAACACCGATTTCGACCGAGCACGGCTCTGACCACACTTTCCTTTCATATGCTGAGAACACAGAAGCAGATGAACTCTACTACACCTGCCCTGTGTCCCGCCAATTTCTGATAGGGAACTTTATCATTAAAAAACTCGAACCCGTGCCACCGGCATGGTAATTATTACACTACCATTTCAGCCATCTAAGCTCTTCCTGTTAGTTGCATATTTAGTGGTATATGCCTAATTTACTTTGAGTCTGCGTAAGAAACTTGATTTACGCAAATAGGCCCTAGTATTATTTCAAATTAAATTTTATCCGAAATTAACCAATTCTATAGCTAAACAAACAAAGCTTTATATAAAAATAAAGGTTCTGAAAAAGTTTAGTATAGAAACTCATTATTGACATAGATTCTAGCTCTAGATAGAGTTTTTTAGATCTAGATTATACGACTGGCTTTGCTTAAGTCTAGAACATTGATGTAGTCTTTCCGTAGTTCTAGATCTAGAACCTAGACCGATAAATCCCTTGTAGTATAATAAAGAAACTCAATAATTGACCGTGTTTCTATTGTTTTTATTTTTAACTAATTGATTTTGGTTTGACCTAGCTTCTAGATTTTAGATCAAGGATTGAATTTTCCTTTACTCCGAGAGCTTATCTTTAGATCTATTGTATACTCACATAAGAATAACTGTTAAAATTGATAATAGTGTTGGAACCTAAAAAAAATTACAACCGGACGTATCGTTAAAACTATAGCCAACAGAAAATTATCTTTATAATGCTTAAAACTTTTGAATTGGCAATAAAATCTTGGATGAAAGCCGCCATTATTGTTATAAAAAGAGAAAAAATAATGTGACGTTACTATAAGTAAAGTCATTGTGATTAACAGTTTGGTAAAAATGAACATTGTTCTCTATCTAAATACGTATTTTAATGCTCTACACATAGTGCAGATTCTTTCCTCTAACCAAACAGACAAAAAAACAACAACAAAAAATCAAATAAATATACAAACATGTAAACAAACTTGAGCTCTAGTAGTATACAGACAGATAGATTATAAACAGGTGTCTCAGCTTAGGAAACTACCGTAAATTAATAGGTTTACATACTCTAGTATGTCGAAACTTAGAACCATAAAGTGCCACTGGCAGCAGTTCTGATAACATATGAATAGAGAAGAAACTGTACACAACCCTCGCAGCTCATTTCTACATAAGCTGTCAGATCCTCTTTCTGACGGATGCAAAAAAATTTCTTTCAGTCATCTTTCCTCGGTTGTAATGGGAACATAGCCCTCCCACTCCCCAGTGACTAAACATAAATAAATATATAATGTATATAGAAGAAAAATACTCTAACCACTGACTGCGATCCGTCGGAAATTTTAACCCACCCCCTGTTCTCCCACCTCCATAGTCTAATTCCAGCAGAAAAATGTCTAAAAGAAACTTTGGTCCTAAACACCCATAATTTTAAAAAGTCACACGCACCGTACAGCACAGCCTTTGCAAGGTTGAAGCGTGACAATGAAAGTCAATATATAAAGACAAAAACAATAAATAAAGATAAAATGAGGTTTTTAAATTTGTACATACATCTAAACTGATAGCTAAGAAAATTGTTATATCTTGTTTTTTCTAAAATAATTGTTCATTATGAAATTAAGGTTTTAATTTATGTGAAGAGCAAAGAACGAAAACAAACAGAATTTATTACTATTCACACAAGTTATGATTTATGTGTAAAGATTGTACTAATTACAATTTACGTTTAAGCTGATTTATAAAAATCAAATACATTAGAAAAAAAATTTATGTTGTGTTTTGTGTTTGTGAGTTTAATTGTTACCAGGGATAGTTTTGGGTTTTGGGATATATATTTTCTCAAAAGTAAATATTTACCTATATATTTTACCGGCAGTGTATGAAAACTGTCATTCTGTACAAAACCTAGCTAACATATAAAATGCCTGAAATAAGCAGAAAAGTAAGAAATAAATCAATAATTCATACATTTCCTACCCGTTCTTTAAAATACTCATTACAAACAGGCACGCTTTCTTAAGAATACATTATCATGACGATGATAGTACCTGACGATATCCAAACTAAACTTGCACGATGTTGAACTGCATCTTAACCTTTGAAAGCCATTCCATAAGAAACAAAATGGCGTAAAGAAAGGCATTGTAGTGAAGCCTATGGCATTTTATGATTTCAATTCGCGCTGCAAACTGAATCTAATCGACTTGCAATCCCATCCTGACAAGGAAAACAAGTTTATAATGGTGAACCAAGATCATCTCACCAAGTTTGTGGTTTTCTAGTCATTCAAAAAAAAAAAGATGCCGGAATAAGTGGTGCAACATCGATTTTACAGCCCTACAACGATTGGGAATTTGCGAATAAAGGGGATAGTGGCATATATGTATACTGGTCCACTTTGAAGATTGTACACGGTAAGCCAGGAAATTGTCGAAAGAGCTAACCAAGACATCGACAATATGCTGTGATAAAAATATGCAAGATAAAAAAAACACCGCGCTGGAGCGAGGGAATACGTTTCGTGCAGCTTATGACAAACAGGGCATTTCTCTGTGGTATTCAACGAACACATTACAAAGCTTTTTTGGTTGCAAAGCTAAAGTGGATCTTACAACATCTAAGCTACACCAAGATGCATTATAGGGTGTACGGCCGAGGAAGAACTGGAAATAATAATAGAAAGTGTACAAACAATACAACCGATAGAAACAGATCAAGTTGAAGAAGAGACCGAGGTCACCGCTAAAAATACTGGCAATAATTCAATCCACGATAAACAAAACCAAAGTAGAAGGGAAGATGTGAATGGTGTATTATCCTACTGTTCAGCTGCGTTGTGTGCGTGATTAAAAGAACAGCGACACCCACTCGTGCAAAAAGTGCGGACAAACATTCATGTGATCTGTAGACACGCTAATAAAGATGTTGAAGGTGAGGACATGATAGGTTATTGGGTGAATAATTGGTGCACACATGCTTCAACATTGAGAATGAACTAGAAAATTATCGACAAGTGCAAAGGAATATTGAAGTACAGGCCAAGAAATGAAAAATGACATGACAAAAAAATTGCTTTCTGCATCTTTGAGGGACACTGTGTGGGTTCCTATTCATGACGTAGACAAGGGACGCGGTGATCCGTGAAATCTGCTAGCAGTTGTAATGGATGTGACAGAAGATGGCTGTTATCGACTTGGAACGGTGCTAAAAATATTGAACCAACTACGTGCAAGATCATGTCTGTGTATGTGATTTATATGTTTTTGTGTAATAATAAGAGAAATAATCCCTGTACAAATGGTCTTTGACAAAATATCTCATAGAAAGTGTTTCAGGACAAAACATATTGCGGCCATAAATATCGCATAGGATGATTATGTTAAGACAACGTATTTCAGGATAAAAAATATCATGGACCAAATACTTTCGACAAAATATTTCACAGTAAAATTGAGTATGATTTTTGAAACTCCTGAAATAAAACTAGATCAATTAAATAAAACTAGATCAAAAGTAAATTGCTTAAGTGTCAATGCAAGGAAAATGACGACACACATTAGCAATATATTCGATTAATAACTAGGGGGAAACACATTTTGGGAAATAACATCTGCTTCCTTTTTAAAAATATCAAGCGTTAAAATATTTCTGTCATACCCATAACTAAGTAAACAGGTAACAAATGTTTTGGTCATTGGGGAGCAAAAGTGCAACAACACCGATGACACAATTTGGGTATCAAAGGAATAGTGTGGTTGTGTGTCTAGAAGTTCTTGTTTGTGAATATACTGTTTTCATGTGTCTAAATCATTTGTTTCCATCTTTATGAAGTGGAACGTTTTTTTTATTTTTTTGATGTGTTTTGTTTTTTAATAGGATTCCAGACATGCGTACTTTAAAACGATTACCAGCAGTGCAGCTACCACAAACAGATCTGATAACCATCCTGATTCTTCACTATTGACCGAACCACATTTAGCAGATTGTCTTATAGTAAGGTCATCACCCCCAGGTGGGCTTTCTTTTATTGATTTACAGAAATATCGTTTTTTAAAACACCATAACAGTTTACTTAAATTTAGCTATAACTAATGTGTGGAATTTTTTAACTTCTGATGAATCTAATAACGAAATCATACATTGTAAGTTGATGAATACGGAATCTATTTTTATGTTTACGTAAACGTCTATATAGTATATATATATATATATATATATATATATATATATATATATATATATATATATGTGTGTGTGTGTGTGTGTTTGTATGTGTGTATGTTTATAACGGATATGTAGACGTTTACAGTGTCATAAAAATAGATTCCGTACTCATCATTTTACAATGTACGATATATAATCTAGCAGACCATGCCAGGCACTGTAAAAAAATCTATCTGTAAAATACCAATATTTATTTGTTTACAGAGGGCAATTTAGTAAGAATTACTTACTCTATGTGGTCTGGTTGTAAGCCTGTGTATTTCTTCGTGCGTTGGTACACATGTGTTTCTTAATCTTGTCATAATTTAATTCTTTAAATGAGCAGTTAAAATTTGACATTGTCATTTGACTATTGTGTCACATTTTCACTGTCACTTATTCTTATTTAAAATATTCTTTTATCTTGTGTAGCTTACCTTTCACAAGATAACCAACAGTACGAATCTACTTTCATAGCGGAGCTATGCAAAGTTTTCAAAACGTATTGGCAACAGGAGGAGATATGTACCATGCTGACCAGGGTGAACAGCATTATGTGTTTTAAAGACCAAAATGAATCTGAGACACTTTCGTCATCGTTTAAATCAATGTTAAGAAAAAGGTTATTCTTTTCCGAAAAAGTGAGTGAAAATTAAAAACACATCATTAAAAATCTATAATATAAGCGGGCTGAGCGTGTGTCAGTCCTTCCTTCCTTCCTTCCGTCATCGCTATAGCTTTTGGAACCATAAAAGTAAACATTCGCACCATGCTGTGCTTTTCAGTGCACCGCAGTGTCTTATTATAAGTATTAGAGTAGGGTTTGTTTATATAGCGGCATAGAGCTATTTTATAATTTCCACTGTTTGTACAATTTTGCATAACGTAAAGAGAATATTAAATACACGCACATTGATAAAACATATTAAAAGAATCAATGTCAAATATAGTTTTTGTTAATATTCCTAGAAAAAGTGGATATATTTTAATAACATAATAACTGTAGGTTAGAAAAATCTAATTAAACTGTTTAGTAATTTTGCCAAGGGAGGTATTTTAAAAATAAATTGAACTCACGCTAATAAAAAATGTGAATGCAAATATACTTTCGTCATAGAAGGAATTAGTGTTGCAATAATATAATTAGCAAAATGTGATTGCACATTATGTGGATGTGTAAGAGGAAATTATTGTTAGAAAATTATAATTAGCATGGATTGATAAAAGGCAATCTTTTATTTATTTTATTCACTGAATGTAGGCCCTACTGTTTATTACTTATAATTTTTAATCAACTATTCAGCACTATTATAGACGCGTCATCAAGTTCATTAGGTGCGCAATGGTTTTAGTTATGAAACTCTATTGTAAATTTTTAAAATTTAAAGTATTGGAAAAAAAATGCGTGAATGGATAAAGTGAAATATTGTAGGTAAAACACGGATATTTTAAATACTGCCTATTATTTATACTGTTTACTAATTATTATTCTATCTTTCGGTTTGAGGACAAGCTAGGGGTTTTATAGGAGAGGCGTAGCGAGGGGAGGGCATATGTCCCCGGGTGCCGACCTTAGGGGGCGCCAAATTGGGTTGGAAAAAAATTGCGAGGGGGGGGGGGGGGGAAATCGAAAGTTTTAGGGCGGGGGGGGGGGGACAGGGGTGCAAATCGAAAGTTTGAGGGGGGTGCAAATCACCGGAAAGGGCGCGATTTCGCGCTACGGGCTAGACTGTGAGCAATATGCCTTTATGATTGCATTTAAATTGTGTTTATGTTATGAGTGTTGTGTTTGTTTTTTCGTTTTTTTTTTTTTTTTTTTTTTGCGTTCGTTTGTGTTGTGTTTAGTTTTGTTCTGTTCCCAGGTTGGTACATTTAATAAAAATTTACCGTGGCGGAGCACGGGATGCAGCTAGTTATATATATTTTTAAAAGTGTTAAAAATGAAAATAATTAAAGTTTAAAAAAATGTAATTTAAGTTTTAAAGTTTTACATTTCTTTTAACTATTTTTAAAATGAATTATACAATAAGTAAAAAAGAACTCAAGCAAAAATAAAGTCGTCATCGATACTAGATAATAACGACACTAACATTACCAACAAATTTATTTGTCTAATATTAAAAGTGATCTCCAAGCAAAGTTTCTTTGATGGATCTTGTCGTCCTCTCGACGCCCCCCCCCCCCCTATTAGACCGTCAACGATCCCCCCTCTTCCCACGTAAAATAAAAGTCTGAAAGAAACACTAACTGCACGATTGATGTTTGATAATGACATATTTCGTTTCCATTTAAATTTTAGATTGAGTAGGGGATTTGGGTATTGTTTTCAGTTGAGAGAAAAAGACACTATCACCCAAGCGCACGTTGTATTTCTCCATTAACGGGCCATTCGTCAAGTCTGTGTATGATAGTGAGGAACATTAGTTTTTTAATAAATAAACTGGGAATGATCTCCTATAAACTTTCTCTAATATTCTTATATAACATTACGGGGTATGGCAACTCGGGATATAGATACTATTTTAAATCCATTTTTAATTACTTAAACTTTTAAAAATAGATTAGAATATCGTAGAAAAAAAGCTCCACACCAAGTGAACGCCAAATAAAATGTGCATAATAGTGCGGAATATTATAAGTACCTTATAAATTAACATGCGTTTTTTGAAAAATCGGAAATAACCTTAATTAGTACTTCCGTACAACGAAAGTTACTCAAAATTTGAGAGAAAGCAGATAATTTAATTTTTTACTTATATGTGAAATTTTATTTATCTATCGGAAATGGTACTCAAGTTATAGGCTTTTCAAAAGTTGAAAGAAAACGTTTCAGTTCCGGTTATCGGAAATTGCTGAGAGTTTATATAGATATTTAAACTTCATCTAACACTTTTATATGACATTTCATTAACCTAGCTGTAATATTACAGACACACACCCAAACACACAAACACATACACAGACACACAGACATACGGATAGGATTGCAAAACTGTTTTTCTGACTCAGGGTGGTGTAAAAGGTTTAGATTTGCAAAAATCACGATTTTTTTGCATGATTACAATACTTTCTCTATACTTTGTATACGAGAAAGTAAAAAAGACAGAGGAATCAATTTAAAAATAGATTTAAATGATTTTAGAAATTAGACATAGGGTAATGTATTATTTCCGTTCACTAGAAATTACTCAAAATGTATCAGAAAACAGAAAATGAGATCTACTACATGTCTTTTTTCTAACTAAAAAAATACTTAAAATTTAGAGTTTTCAAAAAAACCGAAAGTAGAATAAGTGCACTGCCTGTTACCCAAAATCGCAGAAAAGTTAATACAGAACTACAAATTTGAATCATACTTGTACATGAAATTTTGTTCACATAGCTGTAAAAGTACTTAAGTTATTGTGTTTACAGACAGACATACATATAGAAACAAAAACAGAGACATACACATACATACTCCATGACGCGTAAAACGCATAGATTTTGATAAATACGGATTTATAATTTTTGCTCAATTAAAATAAATTCCTATATGATAAAGTACTGAGGTGTAAAACGGTGAAAACAGTTCAAATTTATTTGATTTTACTGCACGATTACAATGCTTCCTCTATACTGTGTATTCGAGAAAGTAGCCTACATGTTTTTTCTCTAACTTATATATATATATATATATATATATATATATATATATATATATATATATATTTATTCATTCATTCATTCATTCATTCATTCATTCATTCATTCATTCATCCATCCATCCATCCATCCATCCATCCATCTATTTATTTATTTATTTTATTTTTTTTATTATTTTTTTTATTTATTTTTTAATTTATTTTTTATTAATTAATTAATTGACTAATTAATTAATTAATTAATTTAATTATTTCTTTTTTTTTCTTCTCTATTAAGTATTTATTTTTTTTTGATGTATTTACTATAATTATAAGTTTTTTTTATTTTTCAGTGCATTGAAGCCGGAAAAGCCAAACAGAGTGTGAAAAATAGGCTTGAAAAGTCGGGTTCCAATGTTTGTTGCCAGAATGAATATTTTCCAACCGAAATTAAATAGTTTATCACATTCGAAAATAAGAACAATATGACTTCCGGTTTTACTAAGGCTAGAAATATTCAAGTAAATAATTATTTGTAATAATATTGTAATTTAATGTAGTTTTACTTTTAATTTTATTACTAGAGTCAATGTGTTGTGTTGATATGGTATGATGTGTTTAACTTAAAAAAAATATTAATTTAACACGTTTTAGGGTGTAAAATTTATGTTAATAGTTGTTAACCTATAGATATACACAAATTAGGGGGTGGTGCTGCATCAATATCCGATTTTCCAAAAGTATTGCAGTAAACTTAATGTGCAAACAAAGTATTGCAGACGGTAGGCCTATAATATTAAATGCAAGTGTAAAAGTTTCTGTCTTATATGACTAAGGGTTCCAAAGCCTTAGTGATTCGAATGTTGAATTTGGAGTAAAAATAAAAAGTTAAGAAACCATGAAACGAAGGGTGAGAAAGCGAAGAAGTCTTGTTATGTGTGAGAGAGCCATGTGTCTAATAAATACGTGTTCACTTATGTTGTAAGTTTTAGGTAGACTTTTCTATGTAAGCACAAAATATGTATACAACTGGTAATGAATTAATTACTATTAATATAGCTTTATTCTCAGACCAACTATCAACAAACCAAATTACGTTATGTTTGTTAGCCGGTCTTCTCACTTCAATACAATGTATATTCCTACTTAATTTGTAATTTACACAAGTTTATTGACACTTGATAATAGCCTACTACATCATCCTTGCTACAGCCCTTGAGGCTAGACAAGCTCCACCCCCTCCTTGTACCCCACTCCTCCACACCGCACTGAACAGTGCGTGAAGATACCATTAGCCATACATTACCAATGTTCATTCAACCGTGAATAACACATACGTGAAGTTTAGTGAATGTTTATCAGCTATCTAGTATTTAAATCAATTGCTAATAAACCATACACAGGGCAAAGAGCGTAGGCTTACCCATTACCACATGAGTCGTTATACAGTCCATTGTAAAGTCTGATAGCTACCTAGCCCACGTGGTTATTACAACCTATCGTGAATTATTTTGATTTACTGTACTGTAATATGATTGGTCAAGCATATCAGTGAATCTTTTCCCATTCATTATTTTTAAGCGCATGCCTTGATGTTTTGTTTGAAAACAGAATTTCGCTTTGTAGAAGGCCGCTGTCCGCGTAGTAATGTGAACATTTGCCGGGGTAGGGCCTACAATTTTTCACCTAGCAATAAAAGAAAGACCGTAGACTTTAGAAGTCCGGTATGTCCGGGATTGATAGTTAAAAGATGTTAGTACCGAATTAAGAAAGACTTAATAAATAAACAAAAAAAATGATAAATAACATGTCATTTTTTATCGAAAACATGCTTTAAAATAAATGAAATACTATGAGATATTCTATTGCTATAATAATTAAAGCGTAATTGATAGCAACATTTTCAAAATTAGTTTGATAAAGACTAAATAATTCAGATCGGTCATTTTCGGCCTTTGGCTCATCGACACACGATGTCACTTTTAAACACGATTTTACACGTGTCAGAGCTTTATCCCCTCACCCACTTCCATTAAAATATAAACCTAAGCCGAACCACAAGTTGCTTTTTTAATTAAAAAAAATCTAGGCCTACTGTGCTCTGCTAAGAATGAATGTATTGATGTATTTGATAACAGTTAATACATTTTCTAAACTTTGTGGAAATGAAAAAAAAGTGTGCAATCTTACTTTCTGAACCCATCTCCTTTTCATTTGAGCCGGAATCTCCCCCACCCAATCAGATTTTGGTGTATTTTATGTACAACCTGTACAACCGCAACTTCTAGAATCAAGGGGGCGGGGGGGGGGGGGGGGAGGGAGGTCGACTGAAATGGTCCAAAGCGACAATGCAAAAATTACAAAAATGTATAAACTTTATTTTCGGTCCAAGGGAGGTAATTCATGAATTAACGCATGATTTTAAGAAACTAGGTTTTTCTTTATTAATTTTTTTTCCCTAAAACAATAACACAAAATACGGCGGAATTGCGTGATTAAACATAAAAACAGCTCGCAAACTCTGGAATAAATCAGATATATGAACACATTTTTTTTGTAGTTGGTTTTGCAAGATTTGTTCTTTAGTGTGGTGATATCAACGTGTGACAAGTCTACACATACCTGACAATATGTGACAAGTCTACATATACCTTACATCACTTTGTGACAAGTCTACACATACCTGACAATATGTGACAAGTCTACATATACCTTACATCACTTTGTGACAAGTCTACACATACCTGACAATATGTGACAAGTCTACATATACCTTACATCACATTGTGACAAGTCTACACATACCTGACAATATGTGACAAGTCTACATATACCTTACATCACATTGTGACAAGTCTATACATACCTGACAATATGTGACAAGTCTACATATACCTTACATCACATTGTGACAAGTCTACACATACCTGACAATATGTGACAAGTCTACATATACCTTACATCACTTTGTGACAAGTCTACACATACCTGACAATATGTGACAATTCTACATATACATCACATTGTAACAAGTCTACATATACCACATATCACCTTGTGATAGGTCTACACATACCTGACAATTTGTGACAATTCTACATATACATCACATTGTAACAAGTCTACATATACCACATATCACCTTGTGATAGGTCTACACATACCTGACAATATG